TCACAGCTTTTGACGAGGCTAGCATCAAGTGCAAGTAGGATCGATGGGCATTGCTCAGCGGATGAAAATGTTCTCTATACTTAAGCTGTTTGGGCCTTGCAGCCCCGCGGTGTAAGGTTTAGGGTATATAGGGTGTAAGGTGTATAGGCAGGCTTGGAACCTAAGATTCCCAGTGAAATCAACATCATAGATTTGTATCCCCATGCACGGTTATGGGATAGATGTGCCCTGAGCCAAAACCCAAGTCAAAATCCCGGACCCTTAGCTAAAGCCCATAAACCCTGAACCCTGTAAAGCCCCAACCCTAAGCCCTATAAATCCCGAACTCTAAATCCCAAACCCTAAACCCTAAACCCTTTGAAAGCCCAAACACTTAAGCTGCTCTGAAGCCTCGATCTTCTTTTTGCACCAACCCAACCCCCCCTCTACACCCTTCAGCAACACTCATGCCAGGTTTTACAGACACTGTCAGTGATCGGGCCCACACTTTGGCGAAGACTCTGGGATCTGGAGCCTGGACCTCAATGGGGTTTAGGGTTTAGGGTTCGAGCTGTGTGATTGATGGGTCGAATGCACATGTGCACATGTTCACCCATGCAGATGATCAAATATGCAGTTATTTGGGCTCACAGCCTTCAAGCAGCAATTAGATTGTGGCGCGAAACTGCATGTGCAATGTGAATCTGCCCAAGACCACTTGCTAGCCTTGTATAGATCCCTCAAAAATGTATGTAGTCATACACACTCGGGGGTTCAGGAGCAATTTAGATTTACCCCATTGTTCGTTTTATTTTCAATTGAAAGTATAGCTTTTATTGCCATGACATCCAAAAGGCCGCGGACACACCTAGCAGGTATCTTTCCCTGGGGTTCCGACACGGAGGAGGAAAATGGGATGTCCCAGCAGCACGCACTGCCTGCAGCAACAGTCACACGATCCATCAGTTGCGATGATGCAGCCCTGACATTCCTGTCATATGACCTTGCTCCTAACCACTCACAAGCTGGAAAGGTGTTGGCTCACTGCAAGAATTGTATCCAGAAGCTACGCTACGCAACTGGAGACGGTGCGCTCAAGATTGTTATCTACAAGGTTGGAATAACCCATGATTGCGATGCGCGCTTCGAGGTGTACAAATCCCAGAACTGGTCCAATATGCTTGTGATGGCTTCAAGTGAGGACTTAGGCTTCATAGAGATGCTTGAGGCTGCCTTGATCTCGCACCATAGTCATCGAGTTCAATGCCGCAATGTGTTAATGGGTGGAGAAGGAATGCGAGACCGGGACTTCAATCCCAAGTTCCAGCCTCCATTCTTTTGCTACTGTGTGACTGCAAGGGCTGACCGACCTAAATGGGTCCTGTGAAGTAAGGTAGATGCATTGCTGTGTGAGAAGCTGTGCCAGCGTTTTAATTCGCATTGCAAATTCAGGCCCCGGCCTACGCTTGGAGAAGCTTCAAACTGTATAGACTTCTGCTGTTTGTTTTGGGCTCTTTTGCCTCGAAGGTGTTAGTGCGAAATTAATTGTGCAGCGGCGTTTCATTCATTCTGAACGGACTTGCTCGAAAGTTTGTGGGATCTCAGCCAACTGACTTGCTTGCCCAATCAAAATTTGTCCAAGTGCAGCCCCTAATATACTCCATATCCCAAACCCGCCCTGAACACCCTCATGCACTGAAGCCTCCTTCCTCACATTGCCGAGGCCAGTGGCAAGCACGTGGCCACCATTGCCAAGGCCTTTGCGAACGATCTGGGAGCTTGCAAGGCTTTGAAGGATCTGGCAAGGGCCCCCAGCTCTGATGCTGAGAAGTTTCTCCAAAAAGTTCTTACCAAGTGGGAGCTTACGTTCGATGTTCCAATTACCTATGTGGACATATCTCCTACCTGCCGGCTTCCCATTCTAAAGCCTTCGGACTACGTTGCGAAGTTATCCGAGAAAGGGTACTTGAACAAGTTGCTGGGGGGCTCGCTTGAAAGCAGTAGCTTGTAAGCAAATTATGGGTTTTCTGTATATAGGAGTAACCTCCATGCAAGCAATATAATTCATTTTTGTACTATGAAGAACCTGCCCCTGTATCCCCTGAAAGCCTCACCCGCGGCCCTCCAGGTGCTGATCGACTTCAAATGTTTTGGGAGAGGTTACAAGTTGAGGAGCCGCAGCATGAGATCTTCGGGCACAACTTCGTTGATTTCAAAAACCTTGTCCCGCTTTACGTGCATGGGGATGGTGGGAGAACATACCGCCGGGACGAGCTCATGGTACTTCAGTTCCAGCCTATTTTGGGTTTGGGATCTCGGGCCTCCAACCCGCTGAAAAAAGTTCGTTCTGAACCAGGCATCAACCTACAGGGCCACTCATTTGCAACACGATTCCTTACAGGGGTCGTCCCCAAATCGCTTTACAAGGCCAATCCCGAGCACTTCGACGAATTCGTCAGGGTTGCCTTTGAAGATCTGGAATCTTTGTACTACAATGGTCTCTGGGTTCGTGATGATCGCTTGCTCCGATTTGTGGTTTTGGGGATTAAGGGCGATCTCCCGTTCCTGTCGAAAGCAGGCCACCTTACTCGGACCTTCATGAATATACGCAAAGGGCCGGAAGGTCCTAACTCGAAAGCTTTGACTGGGTGTTGTTGGAAGTGCGCTGCAGGATCCAGCGCTGTCCCGTTTGAGGATTTGAGCAGTTCACCATCTTGGCTTGGGACTCAGGGGCCCAACAACGATCTGCCGTGGAACACCATTCCCCCTTTCTTGGAGATGGTGCCACATGTTTTGTCGGACAAGGGTTCTTTCTTCAAATTGGACCTTCTGCACATATACCATTTGGGTATTGGGAGGGACTTTGCAGCAAGTTCTCTATGCATGGCGTTCGACTTTGTGTACGAGGGCTCGGTGCCTGACAAGATTGCAAACATGAACCTCGATTTGAAGCTGTTTTTGAAAGAGTCGCGGAGGCAGGTACACTTCAAACTTCTCACGCGAGATCTTCTCGGCTACACTTCGGAAAACGTCTTTCCATGTGGGCATTGGAACAAAGCTTTCGATACACCTGTTTTGATTGAGTTTGTGAGCTGGTTGCTGCGCAAGTATGATGATGCACTTAACTCGCATCGGGAACTGCTACTCATTGCCGCGGCTTGTGACGCGATGTCAAGGTTCATGCGCAACTTACTGAAGGCTGGCTTGTGGCTGGGCCCAGCGGAGGCCTCATCATGTGGAGAAGATGGGCTATACTTCTTGATGTCGTACGGGAAGCTCGCCGAGCTTTGCTACACTGCCAACAAGTGCAGGTACAACATGGTCCCCAAACTACATTGTTTCCATCATATCTGCATTGACCTTGCTCACAAAGCATCACTGGGAATCTTCCAGTTGAATCCTCTAAGCCAGTGTACTTTCCAAGACGAAGATTTCATTGGAAGGGTGTCAAGATTGAGCCGCAGGGTTAACCCACGGCGCCAGTGCTTGCGTACCATACAGCGTTACCTTGTGGCCACCCGCTATGAGCTTCCTGGAAAGTGACCTCATATAAGAACTATATAACTCAAAGTCCCCTAACTTAATTCTACTCCCTTAAAGGTACTTAAAGGTTTCTTTCCCCAAAGCCAAAGTGTGGGCCCCTGACGCAGCGAGCACGCTCTCGTTGACGGAGTGGAAAGGCATGCAAGTTGATGGGATGTACAGGGTTTTTGTGTTTGGGATTAGAGGTTGGAGATTGCTTTCAAGTTTGTGGGTTCAAGGTTGCATGGGCTTGGGTTTACGAGAATGCAAGTATGTTGGAGCCTTCCTCAAAATGTTCATGTACTGGGGTGTTATAGGTATAATCGTGATATAGAACGTGAATACATGCACGAATGTTGAAGATAAGGATTCGGCTTGGGCTACAAATGCTATTTAGGCCTTGAGTCCCCAAGCGCAGCAACAAATCTTAGCCTCAACCCTGGAGACCTCACTCAATCACCAATTAAGGCATACCAAAACCCTGTAAAGGCCCTGAGCCCAATTTGTTATCATTGGAGTTCCTAGTTGCAAAAATGAAGCAAACAGAGCCCCACTGCACGACCGTATTTTAGGCTCCCACGGCCGTATTTTAGGGACCCAACTTCCACGCCCGTATTCTTATAAAATAACCTGGTTATTTTCCAACGACTGGAAATAAAGCGGCGAGGTAGGTAGCAGGTATATAACATGTATTCAATACATAGTTACGGGAGGGTAAGTTTGTGCAGCAAGATAGCATACATGTTGCAGCAAAGAAGGGCAGACTCTGGCCTCTAGAAAGGATCTAGGTTTTTCAACCTCTGCATGCCGTTCTGTAATTAGAAATGAGAGCGTGCACAAAACACGCACCCCCAAACTCAAACAAAGCATGTTTGGGAGGGAGTGGCTCTCGGGATACGTTTGGTGTAAGTCTGAGGGAGGCCCAAAAGGAAACCACCCACTCGCCCAGCCACTGCTCCCTCAGCTGAGCAGTTTTTTGGGGGATGCCATGAACATAAAGTAAGATTACATCCTCGTTTTGGGTTCAGTATTTAGCACAAAGAATATGATGTTTCGTGGTACAGCCGCCAAGAAACGCAACTCAGCTGGGTTGAATGCTTAGTGTTTAGGGTGGTAGCTTCATGTTTCCTTATTGACTGGGTGTTGATGTTTTGCTCATTTTGGGGTGACTGCCTCTCCGGTAGGTGTAGAGATGTTGGTAATTAGTGTCAACAAGAACATCGCAGGAGGACCTCAGTTCTGTCTTTGGCTTAAACAGGGCGTTGTTCCATTGTGTTCTCTTGACGACAAAGCATTGCTGCCTCCTCGTCGCAGAGGGAAGGCTTGCATTGGAGTGAGAATGTCTATTGACCGCACGACAACCTAAACAGATCGGCATTTCCACAAACAAGTATCCCTGTTTTATTCATTCAGGTATTTACATGTATACCTATATGCAGGTCGCCAATTATCAGAGCCCTCAGCTTCATGACCCCAACACGGCTGCCTGCCCCTCTCAGGACAATGATACCATCAGCCGTACCATGGACGTCCTTTCCAATCGGATACGCGAAAACCTCGACGGTGCGAGCTCCACAGGGAAAAAAGGGACTCAGCTCCTCTTGATCCCCTGTGCAATACATGGTAAAAGGGTTCACCTAGTAGACCCTTATACCTATACACTGCCCCTTCTTTATGGTAACCTTACTTAATGCCTAGAATGTTCTAGATGCGAACCTGGATGCCCTTTAAAGGGTATTTGGAGGTTCAAGGAGACTCAGCGAATAGACTTATAACCCCTGTAAGTCATACGATAAACCCAGTTATCCCCAGTATTCACCTACTCCCTGACCCTAAATCCTAAACTCTGAACCCTAAACCCTAAACCCTGAATCCTGAACCTCAACCTTACTAAGTCCCCCTGGACGCTCCAAGTAGGGTACGCCGGGTCTTGTTTTTTCCTTTCAATTCCCTCAAGCAAGCCGGAGGGATAAATCCGAAGACTGCCTACAACTGCTGGCTGGACTCAAAGATTTGTAAGTTTGCGCCCGTAAGGTTAAGTTGTTCAGTTTAGAGCCTTTTTTTAGAGCTTTGCGTCTCAGATGCTCGAATTAAGGGCTGTGTTCCATAGTTTAGGGGTCCAAACCCAGGGGTACAAACCCTAAAGGTATAAGGGAAAGCTTTGTGATAGACAAAAGTCCTGAACAATTAGGGAACTTAGTATTTGGGGATGCTTGCACGAGGCATTGTATCATTTTGGGATCCATGTTGGGCCCCCCCAAACCCTAAACCCTAAACCGTGTTTCGATACCCCCCCCAAATTCTGTAGCTGGTTGCCGGTGTGACGGAGTTCGTACAGCCTCACACTGCCCCTAAGCGTATGGTCTGAGCTCTTGAGTTTTTGCCCTTTGAAGGCTAGCTGCACCCCAAGTGATCTGTCCTCACCTAAAACTCCATCCCAATTTCTGAAGTCAAGCAGTTTGCCATGCATAGGGGCTGTCTCAAGGTATGGAGCGCGCGTACTTCAAAAGAAACAATACGCCCCGTAACAAATGTCAAGAGGGGCCTCCAAACATTCAGACCCCTGTATACAGTAGCCCTTCAGGCTCGGACACATTGCCCATGCACATAAGCCTAAAGAGGATTGGGGTTCGGGGTTTAGGGTTTAGTATTTAGGGTATAGGTGTTAGAAGATCCAAGTAAACCCTATACCCGAACCGCGAACCCCGTTAAATCATATCAGCTATAGTCTAAACTCATAGTGTCTCCCTTACTTACCCCTATCATAGGAGCCTTATATCATCCCTTATATAGCCCCCTCTCAGGAGTTTAGGCCCTAAACCCTAAACCCTACAGAATCCCCTATATAGTCCAGTATACCTCTCCCTTAAAAGGTTTAGATTATAGCTCATATAATCCTTATATAACCCAATATACAGGACTTTCCATTTCATTTTCCATTTTCTTTTCCAGTTGATTCTCCATTCTTGCGGTAACCCCTCAACCCTAAATCCTAAATCCCCAAACCCTAAACCCCCTAGTTTGGGAAACTGCACTGAGAGTACGATGAGGCCCTCCACATCACTTCGATCCCATGGCTTCCCACGGGTCCGGGACGCAGGGGGTGTGAAAACCTAGGGTTTAGGGTTTCGGGTTTAGCGGGATCACCCAAGCATATTGCTTTAGGGTTTAGGGTTTAAGGTTTAGGGTGTAGGGTATAGGGCTTAGGGATTTATATGATGGTGCCATGTTGGGAGTATTTGCTTATTGTTAGGAGGGTTGGGGGGAGCTATTGCAAAGCGGGGGTAATTCCTACATAACCTCCAAACAACCCTGGTTCCCATCTAGTTTTCTATGTGCTGCTTCCATTTGGTTATCCAGTATCGGGTCCTATTACCTTATATAAACTCCCTATATAGCCTTGCGTATCCCTGTAGAACCCTACGGTTTTGACGGAGGGCAGTGCAAGCACTATCACTGCTGTCCGCTGCAGCTCTACATGACTCACTGTTTGGCCATGGAAACCTAGGAAACGGAGCCCTACAATCCGACGCCCTAGGACAGCTGCGAAATACCCTGGATACTAAAACCCTACGGATCTAAATAGCCCAATGTAGGTAATATCTACAGACTTTGGGGCCTAATGTAGGGATTATTTGTATACATGGATCCCTCGGGAAACAATTGCATGAACCGTGATAGCCTAGACCTTGCGAAGTATCATGCGGGAGGTTTAGCTTTAGCAGCAGTATCATCAGAAGCAAGGAAGAAGTGGAATCCCAAGCAGTGCACGCCCATGAAGCAAAGCCTCAAAAGGTTGCTGAGCTCAGGAACTTACATCGTGCTGGTTGCGTTACGCCCTATAAACCTTAAACCCTAAACCCGCAACCCTACACCCAAAACCCCATGCCCGAAACAAGAAGCTGCATCCTAAATCTTCGGATCCCCAAAAATATCTAGCAGCAGGGAGGAAGCCATGTCGAAATAGCTGACAAGAGTTGAAGCTACGTCTAGGGTTTCGGGTTGAAGCTACGTCTACGTGCAAGGTATCCTGGCGGCATAAGAGGACCCTATATGTACTATAGTCGGGGTTGTCTAGGCGATCATGTGGGGGAGTTTTCTGGGGGCTATCAAGGGTGATATTAGGAGCTTGGACTATAGGTCATATTCTTGCAGATTTAAGGTTTGAAGCATGCACCCCTCAACGCTGGTCTTTACCCTAGACCCTGTGACTTTGAACCGCGTTCCTCTGAACTTTGCGTTCTAGAGGCCACACCCCAAAAAGCGGGATCTCACTCCCAACCAGTACATCCTAAACCCTATAAGACCTACTCTGAGTAGACCACATCCTTGATCCTAAGCTAAACCCTACGTTCCAAACTCTATAAACCCTAAGCCCTCAATCGTAGTTTCCATTTTCTTTTCCACTATCCCAATATAAGCCCTATATAAGCCTATATAACCCCAATATATCCCCCATGATAACCCACATATATACCCCGTTATAGTATTTCCATTTTATTTTCCATTATCCCAATATAAAAACCCTAAACCCTAACCCCAATATGAAAAACCTAGGCCTGAAACCTCAGCCGTGAACTAAGGATGCCACCTCCCGGCCAAGCGCTTGTGAAGCGCGCGCGGACTGAATGAGGTGGGCTATAGTCTAAACTCCTTAAAGGGGGATATATAGGGGATTATATAGGGGACTACTATAAGGCTTATTAAGGGGGATACTAGGAGTTTAGACTATAAGTCAGGTGGGATATCCTCCGCTTCAGGGGTTGAGTGTGTAGCGCGTTGGGGTAGGTCTGGAGATTTGGGGCGGTTCCGAACGCCGGGGATGCTGGAAAGTCACTACTGCTGAGAGCTTCGACTGAAAGCTGATGGTTCTCTCCATAGCTGAGGCTCAACTAAGGCCGGTTTAGGGTTTTGAGTTCCTTCTGAGATGCTGCTGAGCAGTTGATGGAGTTCAAGTGTTTTGGCACATGGGAGAGTGGAAGCTGAAATGGATACTCTGCGCATGCTATCGGGCAATGGTGTGCGCCTCATTTTAAATCGCAAATTCTTGGAATTCCTCTGCCTAAGCCATGTACTCTCCACTAGAGTAGCCTGCAATCCCATGTGGCCCTCATCATTGGGACACAGCCGTAGTCTTTAGCGGGCCCCTTTGCAGGTTACATGTTAATTCCGTCCCCGCAACAAAAACCTCGCTTCCCCCTAATATTTCCCTTCTTATGTAGCGGTACCGCATTCAGGGTAGTTACTACGAAGGGTGAGGGGGATCATTATTAGGGGGAGGGCATTATTCTGGGGAGGTTCAGGGGTTCAGCCTTGTGATCAAGAAGACAGCTAGCATGGGGTTCCTTATACTGTTGGACCTCCTTTTGCCTATGGGCTCCCTATAATGAGTTTAGGGGCCGGCCTATTCAGGATCAGGGCAATGATTGGAAGGTCCCTTATAATGAGTTTCGATTTGGGGGGCCTAAACATACAGGAAGGATTCTCAACAATCCATTTTAAACCTATCTACAGGGACCTCCGAAACGTGGGAGCTCAGGGGGGCCGTATT